TGGAATTCGGGTATAGGCTGGGGGGTACTTATGCATTTTCCCTTAAATAAATAGTGAAACTGTTGCTAAGGAGTCCCACTAAAAGCTAAAATATTGTTGTTTTGAAAATTTTCCCAAAACAACAATATTTTATCTTTTAGTGGGACTCTTTAGCAACAGTGTCATTATTTATTAAAAATGTCATTATTTTAGTTTGTTAAGGGATTAGTTATGTATTTATTTTATTTTGATTAATTTGAAAGAATACAAATAATTAATAACATAACAGAGAAAATCATGGAACAAAAAAATTCAAAAAAGGCAAAAAAGATTTTAAATACAAATCAGTTACGTTTTGAAAAGAGCATAAATAGCCATCTTTCCGTCGAGCATTTTTTTGCTTTCTTCTTAAGAACATAAAAAAAATTAAAATAATTTAGTTTGTCTTTCGAATCATTCATCTGATAACTTTCAAAACTTCTTCAAGTTGAATATGACATATTTTTTAAACATAATTTTTCAAAATTGACAACTATAAATTTGTCGCATCCAGTGAACAATCGAAAAATAATCAGGTATTTGGTTCGATTTTTTTATTTGGTTGGATGAGATATTCGTATATGTCGAGTACAAGAGTGTTATTTTTTTTCCTGATTGAATCAGTGAAATCTTTGTATGCATTGGGATTTATAGCTTTTTTCGGATGTTTTGTATCCAAATTATGATGTATAACGAATGAATTTTTTTTTTTTTTAGTTTAGTAGCTGTTTTTCTGTTTGAATGCATACAATAATTTGTATCCCATTAAGTTAATGTAACTAATCGATCATGAACTATATGTTGAATACAACAATATATGAATACAAAAGTGAGATGAAAATACAAAGTTATAAATACAAAGTGAGATTGAATATAAAGTTGTGAATACAAAAGAAATACTCTCTTCATTTGAAATACAAAGTGACTTTGAAAGGTAAAATACAAACTAATGGATCATGAATTATATGTTGAATACAACAATATATGAATACAAAAATAAGATGAAAATACAAAGTTATAAATACAAAGTGAGATTGAATATAAAGTTGTGAATACAAAAGAAATTAAATACTCTCTTCATATGAAATACAAAGTAACTTTGAAAGGTAAAGTAGGCACAAAAAATACAAAACTTGTTGGTATACAATTAGGTTGAATACAAAACAAAAGAGAAATACAAACTTGTTCACATATAAATAGAGATTGAAATACAGAATGAATACCCAATAAAATACAAAATTGTTAGCATACAGTTAGGATGAATACAGATTAAGAAGGAAATAAAAACATGTTGGTATACTAATTGAGATTGAAATACAATGCAACCCTTGGGTAATACACAATCAAATGAGGGAAATTCCCCAAAATTTTGAATATTATTTGGTATACCTCTAGTAATTCTGATTGAATCAGTTATTGTAGACAATCAAATACTTTCCCCAAAATCTAAAACCCTAAAAGCAAATTTCGAATTATCAAATTTTAAAATGTATTAAATATCAAACAAAATAAACATATATATGAATTTCTAGAATCTACAAAATCTGAAAAATTAAAAGAAAATCACAAAAAAAATTGAAAATAATAAATATATGATGAATATTTAAACAAAATCACATAAAAATTGGAAAATTCGACTGAAAATCCGTAATGTATAGAATCAGTGATTTAAACATCAAATAAAAAAAAATCAAAATTGATAATGGAAATTACCTTGCCAACCGAGAAATCTTCTTGAATTAATAAAGAGATTTCTTTTAACAATAAAATTTTTTTTTGATAAACAACAATTTAGCACCTTGAAGAAAGATAAACTTGAAATGTGAAAGGTGTGGAAGAAACGTGAAAGTTGGGGAAGAAACGTGAATGGTGGTGAAAAAAGGTTAATGGTATTGATTTAATTTATTTTTTTCACTTTAAACGATTATTGGTATATAATTTGGTCTAATATAGGACTCTTTCCATAAATAAAATTAATTTAAAATACTAAAATCTGAATACATATTATTTTATAAAAAATATTGTCATTCTGCCATTTTAAATAAATATTTTAAAGTGTTGTTATTTTGACTAATTATGTTAGATATTATGACTTAATTGCTAATTTTCCCATTTATTTATTACAATTTTTAGCCAATTGCTTGCCCTTAAGTTTTCAGAATATTTTGGGCCATTTCCAATTTCCAGTTTAACATTTCAGCAGCACATTTCAAACCGACCTAATGCCTTGATTTCTTTTAATCCTGCCCACCAATTCAATTCTCTCGAGCAACAATTTAGAATTCCAACCCCACCTTCTAATTCTTCATCAGTAGGCCAAATCAATTCCTTACGCCAACCCATTTTATTCAACAAACAAGCCCGGCCTAACCCAATTTTCTCTTCAAATAAACCCAGAAGTTCATTCCAACGTTTTCTCCCTTCCAACGTCTACATCTTCACGACGTTAATAGCAGCAGTATGCAACTCCAACAGTTGGATACATACAACATTCCAATTACTCTGTTACCTGGTCAAAATGAGTGGAATGTACCTGGGTATATTAAGGACGACATAGTGCGGCCTCCAAAGCACAAAAATCTACCTGGAAGGCCATCCAAGAAGTATCATGACAAGGCGTACAACGAGGTATATGGGAAGAAGAGCAAGAATTCTTGTTGTACTTGTGGGTTTAAGGGGCACAATAGGCATTCGTGTAGGAATGGACCGCGTATTGTTTAGTTAATGATGCTTCAATTTTATATCTTATTAGAGTAGAATTGTATCCCAATTTCTAATGCCCTCTATGTTTTATATTTACTATCCTGAAATTATTTGAATATGTTTTCACTCAAAATGTATTCATATCCATGTTATGAAGTTATTTTATTTTTGTTGTATTTAATGTGTACTTACTTTAAGTTTGTAATTGAAAAATTGTATGAGTCATAAAAAATTATAAATACAAATTAGTAGTAAAATAAAATAATTATGAAAATACACTTTTGTTGAAATACCTTTTTTTTTAATACATAACAAATATATTGAGTTCTATTCAAACTAAATTGTATTTATATTTCAATACCAAGTGTAGTTTTATTATTATTTTTTTACTTTAAAATTGTACTGTATTATATATTTACTATCCTGGAATTATTTGAATATGTTTTCACTCAAAATGTTTTCATATCCATGTTATGAAATTATTTTATTTTTGTTGTATTTAATGTGTACTTACTTTAAGTTTGTAATTGAAAAATTGTATGAGTCATAAAAAAATATAAATACAAATTAGTAGTAAAATAAAATAATACTGAAAATACATTTTTGTTGAAATACCTTTTTTTTTAATACATAACAAATATATTGAGTTGTATTCAAACTAAATTGTATTTATATTTCAATATCTAGTGTAGTTTTATTATTATTTTTTTGACTTTAAAATTGTACTTACTATTTCTCTGGTTAAGTTTATATTACAAAAAAGCATGATGTATTTCAATATCAGTTAGTATTCCAAACATCAGGATGTATTTCAATATCAGTTTGTATTCCCTTATTATAATGTATTCATCACAATTTTATATATTGTGTTTTCATCAAATTTATCTTTGCTAATACTACTATGTTTAAAACTACAAAGAGCATACACATGAATACCAAAAAATGTCTTATTAATATTAAATACAAAACATTAAAAAGATGAATAAAAAAGTTCAACAATTTTTATAGTAATAAAAACAGAACTTTATAACTTCAGAAAAGCAACCATAAATCATCCGGTCAAATGTCTTTTACCAAGCTACAACACAGATTGACTATAAAACATACCACAAGCTATACTGCTTAACATTATGCAGTATATATAACTGCAAAATTATATAAAACCTGTACAATATGCACATGAATACAAAACCAAAACTTCAAAACATTAAAATTATGAAGAAAAAAAGTTAAAGAGTTTTTACATTAATAAAACCATATCTTGATAACTTTAGAAGGGTTCCATAGCAATACAAAAACTAATGTATATTAACTAAGAAGATTGACAACACACCAATAATAGGCAATGACTAATCTATTTGAATTGTATCATTATCCTCAAATGCTACATTAATCCTGCTATGTCGCGGAGGTGCTACATTGTCAGTTATAGCTCCGGCATCATTCTTTTGTTGGCCATAATTCCAAAGAAGTGTAGCGTATCTTAACCGTAGAATTAATGCATCGAATTTCCTGCTGGAATTCCTTTTCCGTATGATAGGTATTCGGCAAAAGCTAGCATATATATACCGCATATATTTAAAGACACATTGAATATGTGGAGCTTTTGAAGGATGATTTTTGACATAAAATTCACTTGCCTGCACATGTTCAAATAAATGAATACATACTTGTATAATTACTGATAAAAAATTCTATTTCTAGATAACAAAATAGAATAAGAAAAACTACCTATAAATCTAATAAATTGGGAAACATAAAGGTGCTGAAAAAATACAATATATTTATACAAACTATGTAATATAAGTATATAACTAGATATGGAGAAATACATTAGCTATATAGAATACAAAATTTATCATCACAAATAATTTATATAGATACTGTTAGCTATACACAATATGAATACAGTAGTGAGTTTGAAACAAAAACAGAAAAAATACAAATACTATTGAAAGTACATTCATCCTATAAAATCAACAATAAACATGCAACCACAGAATCAACAATGGACATAACATACAAAACAAATTTCAAAATAATTTAATACCTCTTCATCGTCTTGCTGTAATTCTCCATCAATTCGATCTTTAACTTGAACATCATGGTTTTCAGAACACATAAGTCTCCTTTTTTGGAAGAGCTCTCTTGTGCCATTCTAGCCATAGATCCTACGTTTTCGAGCAACCCTTGGGTAATACAATGAAGGAAATTTTCCAAAATTTTGAATATTATTTGGTATACTTCTAGTAATTCTGATTGAATCAGTCATTGTAGACAATCAAATGCTTTCTCCCAAATCTAAAAACCTAAAATCAAATTTCGAAATTATTAAAAATTAAAATGTATTAAATATCAAACAAAATAAACATATATATTAATTTCTAGATTCTACAAAATCTGAAAATTAAAAGAAAAATCACGAAAAAAATGAAAAAAAATGAAAATCATAACTATTTGATGAATAACTAAACAAAATCACATAAAAATTGGAAAATTCGACTGGAAATACGTAATATATAGAATCGGTGATTTAAACATCAAATCAAAATAAATCAAAATGGGTAATGGAAATTACCTTGCCAATCGAGAAATCTGCTTGAATTAATAATTAGATTTGATTTAACAATGAAGAAAATTTCTTGATGAACAACAATTTAGCAGTTAAAGAAAGATAAACTTGAAAGGTGGTGAATAAATGTGAAAGGTAGGGAAGAAACGTGAATGGTGATGAAAAAAGGTTAATGTGTATTGATTTAATTTTTTTTTCTTTTTAAACGGCTATTGGTCAATAATTTGGTCCAATGTAGGACTCTTTCCATAAATACAATTACTTTTAAATACTAAAATCTGAATACATATTATTTTATAAAAATATTGTCATTCTGTCATTTTAAATAATAATTTTAAAGTGTTGTTATTTTAACTAATTATGTTAGGTATTATGACTTAATTGCTAATTTTTCCTTTCAATTATTATTTTATTAGAGCCTAGGACAGATAGAAGATGGGCCTAAAGCCCAAAAAAGAGTCATTTTTTATTTGAATAGATTAAGAGAGGGAATTTGGCCAAAGCCCACACATTTGGCCCCTTTAGTTTTTAGAGCAAACTACATAAATCCCACTAGTTTAGGTCCTAATTACTAAGATTTCCAATAGTTTCAAATATTACTTCCTCTACCATATTTCATACTTAGGATACATGAGTTTGAATTTGTGCAATACATGTATCTGTCGAATTTTAAAATCGAGATACGTATTTTATTTGTTTAAATTAATTGATTGTAACTGATTTCCTTAATTAGAGGAGTAATTGATGATTTTTAGAATATATGGGCAATTAATTTCTGGAAATTAAATTAATCAAATCTCTTAATATAGGGCAAATCAAGGAGTGTATTTATGTTTAATTAATTTCATTTATTATTCTTTGAAATAATAAATTCATTAACTTTATTATTAATAAAAAAAACAAAAACATGTATATCTTGGTCATGTAATTGATTAATTTCATTTTATTACTCTTAAAATAATAAATTCATTAATTTGATGTATCTATTATCAATAGATGATGTATCCTACAAACTAAACACTTGGATACATGAGTATCATACAAGGACATTCATATGTATAATATAAGTATCTAGTATTAATTTCGTGTATTTGCTATATGTGTCTATTATTAATTTTATGTATCTATTTATATGATCTAATTTTAATTTCATGTATCTTTCATATGTATCTAGTATTAATTTGATGTATCAAGTATCAATTTCATACATTATATTCAAAAACGTGTACCTCGAATACATAGTAAGTTGTAAGCATATACATAAATTATGTGTATCTAAATATGGAATGTAATTGAAACAATCGAATTTAGGAACTACTCACGATGTTAGAGTATCTGCCTTATCACTAATCCAAAAAAAAAAGTAAAAAATTTCAAAATTCTTCCTTTTTTTTAGCATCTGAATTTTTTCTCACAAATACATATAATTTTAACTTAGATACATCAACTCTTAACTAGATACATATACATCTGATGTGTATCCAACATTGTTGCATATCTAATAGTGTATTTATTATGTTAAGTAAAGCTTGGCAAAACTCTTCCCTCTTGATTGAGTCGTTCCTATACTTAGATCTATTCTCGGCTTGAATGTTAACGGATGAAGAGTCAGTCCCTACAATGAAAAACTCATGAGTGAAAATAACAAATAGAAGCTGTTTGATTTAGTATAATATTGTTAATGTGTAGTACCTTTAACAAGAATCATCTGATTTTGAGAATGACTAGCCATTAAATATTTGAGAAACAACAAAATCAAAAAATATAAAACCTAATTTATAGAACTTTTTAAAATTGAATGTCAGAACATTATGAACTTTAAGTCAGATACAAAACCAAGATACATGAGAATAATAAAATAATAGAAACAAACATATATGTATAATGTTGATTTGAACATGCAAATATGTATTGAGAGTATGAAGGAAGAAAAAGGGAGAAGATGGAGGAAGAATGAGGGTTAGTGGACGTGGGGTGGGGAACGGCAGGTGTGATTTATGTGATAAAAATTTTGAGTTGTTAATGTGGACCATTAATTAAGGAGATTAAATTTAAGATAATTATCCAATACCATAATTAAGGGATTTGTGTATCTAATTAAATCTTTTAAAATATGTGGTATAAATATTAAAAGTGGTAGTATATGTAATTGTTTTAAACTAGAGGTAAATATAGTATATATGGTAGTAATGTATGTGTAGCTATGTAGTTTTTCCTTAGTTTTATAGGACAAGTACTAATATTGGGTCATTATCCCCAAAACTGAAATTAAGCCCAAGTACCGATTCAGGCGGACAGAAATCGGACTTGGGCACATATCTTCTCTCTTTTGTTATTTAATTGACTTTGCATGCTAGTGTGTTCACTTAATGTCAAGGTATTTCCCTAAATCAATTCCCCAAAAGATTACCATTTTTGACTACTTATATTTTTCTTAAAATTTGGATAAGTGTTTATTTTCTTACTTCAATTACTTCACTTAAGTAATAATTCCTTATACTATTTCCCTTTCCCCCTAAAAATAACTTAAGTTTTAAGTTGTGTATTTCCTAAACTTGTTAAGTATGCTTATCTTTTAAAAATAATTTGTCAAATAGTTAATTATTGGATAACCGCAAGTTAGCGGATGTTTTAGGTGCCTTTAAACCTTTCTAAAATATTAATATGAACCCCGAACCCCCATAAGTTTTCAATTGATTTACTGTTTTGATCTTTTGAAAATTAATTTTCTTAATTTTTATTTAAAAATTAAGTGGCGACTTTTAAATACTCCCTTTTTTATTTTTAAATAAAACAAGTGTCATTCCGTTCGTTTTTGGATCATGATAGCTATTTGCATCGTCATTTAATGATGAGAGTTGGAATAGTACTAAACAAATATTTGTTCACAAATTTGCTCCCCTAGAATGACTATATATTTGCTTTCCTTGAAAGACTTTTTATTTTATTTAACAACATATAATTTTTTGGCTATCCAAAAAATCCTCATTGTATGGCATCTAATTTATCCTTTAGAATCTCTTGGCTATCCAAAAAATCCAACGTGGTCATCATACCATCCAACTTGATCTATTTAAATTATCTTCAATATACCTCTACCCCAACGGATAGAAAGAAAATTATTTATATTAATCTTATATCAAGTCTTATCATCTCATATTTTATCACAAGTGATCACAATTCATGTCTTTGTCCTTCCTTCACTTCTCCTCATATCCTTACCATCGCCATTATTCTCCTCTAATTAACTGATCATTCTAATTTTACACTTTTCTTCAAGACATCAACATTGAACCATTATATTCATGAATTTTGACTTATCGTTGATAAACATGCATCATAAAACTGTAGTAATAAGTTTGAACAAGTTGAAGTATCCTTTTCAAAATCACACCTCGAGCAAACTATTCTTACTATTTCAAATTTTGTCAATTTCATTCTTAAAATTCAAAACGCTCATTACCAAGTTATTTAGCTAACCATATAACATTCATACTATTTTACATAACGTTATTCCCATCATTAGCGAGAGAGTGAAACAAGAAAATTTTGAACTTAAACCGAATCATATAGCACAATAAGGAATAAAAGAATGAAAGTTTCCTAAAGTCTTGTAGCCTAAAGATAAGTAACATACGTCTCTTCCTAATCCGTAAGACTCTATTAGACTCAGATCTTGTACTCGTGAAACTGATGAACCTAGAGCTTCAATACTAAATTGTCACGATCTAAAAATACAAGTCGTGATGACATCTATGTTTCCAACGGATAGGTAAGCCAACCCAATAAATTTACCAATTCAACTTAATAAATAAAGTGGAAGATAAGTGACAAACAAATATCCTGAACACTAAGTCTTTCATAAGTATTAAATGCAAAAACTTGAACTACCACCCAAGACTTAGTGTCATAAGTACAAAAACTTCTACAATATGATACAAGTCTAAAACTAAAATGACAAGTCTAAACGTAAGAAATACCCTGTCTGAATACTAAGACAACATAATAAATTAAGCGATAAATGAAGGTGTGGCCGCAGAATAGTCAAGTAGCTCATCACAACTTCAAGATGATCAAAACTTAGACTCAAAAGCTCCATGAGATGTACTCGTACTTGGAATCTAATATGCACCACAAGAGAGTACAACAAGTGTAGTATGACTACGAAATCACATGTACCCAATATGTCTCATAGACCAAGGAGTATATAAAAAATAATTCTTTAATTTTACACGTTTACATTGTACTTATCAGTCAAGCTTCACCAAATAGGGATAATTAAATATCACGTAATGTCTAAACACCAATGAAGCACAAAATTAAACAAGAATGAAGGATATGATGAGATTCAATGCAATTCAACACCATGACATGATATGGCAAGTACTATCTCAACTGTATATGCACGATACTTCTCGAAAATACATCGAGAGTTTGTGACTCATGGGGGACTCGCAAGGTTCATATACCGACACAAGCGATCTCTACGTGTCTGTGCGGATAATCTCAACACACTATCATAAAATCAAACAAATCTCTAGCATGGACGATCTCCTTGTACCTAACTTATAATCATAAATTGATCTCAATACAAATGATCTCCACGTGTCAAATCTTTACTCATTCTCAATCTCATGTCAATGCATATGCACAATATAATATCAACAAAAAAAGGTGATGATGCATCTCAATCAATCAAACATCGGTATAACATATGATCACCTCAACCATCACAATTATACGGATTCAATAAAGAAACACAATCACAGAAAAGAAAAAAAATCAATAATACATCAGTTAATACCCATTTTCTTTGACATTCTCGGATTACAATCCATCATTTCATAGTAATAAACTTTTTTCTTTTATAACACTCGTATCAATGCCCGTCACCCCATTGATAAAAAAACCCCATCTTCTTTCCTTACCCATTGTCTATTCGATTTTTATCCTTAATTAGAATAACGTCTCTCAATGAAATCTAGAAAATCTTAACATACCTCGAATATCGAACACATGTCACGAATTCTCAAAATTTTGTCTTTTCCTTTCGTAAAGCTTCATAATGTTCCCAATTTATCAAATATGCATTAAGTAAACGAGTCTGTAGGCATCCACATTACTATATGTCTAGTATACATCCAAAAATTCACCCAAATATATAATCAAGCTCATAATCTTGATGACAATAAACATGTCAAGGCTCATATTTGCTACATTGCAAGCCTAAGATTAAGCCTCAATTTATCTAAATAACATAAATTTCCAATTTTCATATAATACAAGATACCTATTACTCAATTAAGTATACATGTATGTCAATACCTGAATCATAACTTGATAACTATAAAAAAATTGTGAAACCAAAACCAAAGTCATAACTAATATTCTTACTCACGAACCACTGTATAGAAATCTAGACCAAAACTTCAATTCATTTTCATGATTTGCTTAACAATCATTTGACCATAATTACGCAATGATTGGCCCCAAAGTTTTCCCAAGTCCATAACACTATAGCATATACAAAGTTGCTTATTTAAGTTTGCAAATTCAATTTTCTATACTCTCTCTTTCCCACCCATTATTATTATTATTATTATTATTCTCACCTCTATGCATATTTACAAATGCATATATTAAGCCGTTGTTAATTCTTATCTGATGTAGGTTGGTCATCGCTGTAATTGTGCTGAAGTTGTGACGGCCTCTTCAGAAGGTTATTTTTTCTCAAACAAAATATGATCTAAAGTGATATATGGTATTAATTTAAATTATATTATATATGAACTTGACCCATTAATCATCAGTTAAATTAATTATCTAATATTATTCATTAATTAAATAATTATAGTTAACAAGTAAATTCAAAATTCTCATTTAAAATCTATTGAAATAATCAAAACAATAATTTTAGTGCTTAAAACGACTTAACGGATCTCTACATACATGGAGGTCGGGAAGGAAAAATGATAAGGTGAGAGTTCAGATAGTTAGCCAACTAAGCTAGTAAGATATTTTTCAAATATTACATTGAGAAAAAAAATTCTTTCGCTGTCGATCTTGAATTCGATTTTCAACAAGAGCATCTAAATTAAAATGATAAACTTTTGCTCCTTTGGGGACATGATAAAATTGAAACGATATGGAGAAGATTAACATAGCCGGCCCTATTCAAGGAATTTGTAGTATATAAAATATATAGGTTGTCATCTTATTACTGTTCATATTTTGTTGATCAATTTGTCTTGTAGACTGAAAAGACGAATAATTTGATCGAAGTCTAAAGTTGATTTGATTGATAAATCTATTCTAGAGACAGTAAATCCTGAATCCGCCTCTCATTTGGTAGAGTGTATTAGTAAAAATAATGCATGTATTAGTTCTATGTATCAATAGTATCTTGTTTGGTACACCTTTTCATGTTATGTATAACTAATGATATGTATTAGTTATACACTCTATTGTATATTGAGGAGTGCATTACTAATACCATGGAATTCTAGGTATTAGTAATGCAAAGGGATTTAATGCATGCATTAACATGATCAAAGACTCAATTACCCCTCAAAACTTCTTTTACATTTTTTTCACCATAATTGTGAAGGATATTTTTGTAAATAAATATTGTTATACAATGCATGCTATTTTTTATACACAAAATAATGCAATGTATAACTATGTATAACTAATACAAGAATTACTATTACAAATATTATCAATATACTCTATTTAACATTAGTTTTAGAGAAAAGACATAAAGTCACCACTGAAATTATCTCAAATTTTCAAAAAGAACTTTATTGACGTCCTATTACCCACAAAATATTAAATACCTAATATACCATTTCGACTCATTTTTTCACCCGGTAAGACACGCGTACTGCTCACCCTTTTAATTAAATTAATTTAATTTAAATATTAAATTAACACAACCCGATTCGTTTCAAAAGGAAAAAACTCTTTCTTTACTTTTGTTTTCCATTTCTCAGTTTGTCTCCTCACTTTCTTCATCACAACTTTTATTGAAGATCACATGCTTTATTATGATGAATGATGACAAGTTATATTTCACGACTCGGTCTAAATTTATCTCCATTTTTTCTATTTCTCCTTAGAAGTTTAATTTTTTTTAATAATTCAAATTCACTATCTTAAAATTTAATTAGATTGAGGGTATTTACAGGGGCGGCTCAACGTAATCGGAGGCCTAAAGCGAAATCTTAATTAGAGGCCTAAAATCTAAATAAACTTCACATGCATTTATTTAAAATTTGTTTTTCTTACATTTTTAAATGCAAAGTATTACCTAATATTTTTTTATATATATAAATGATTTATTCAATTTCTTTTTCAATTATTAGTTTTAAATAAGATTTTATTAATTCAACGTTGAAAAATATTATTTTACTCGGGCAATCATTATATGAATTGTTAACATAGTTCTACAAGTAATAAGTTGACAAATTTCAAATAAATATAAGAGTTAGAACCATAGCTTTGATGAAGTTGATAATTTGGTTACCCCACATTTTACTATGGTTATTGTAATGCTTGAAAATCTAAGAAGAAATGGAAAAAAACTTTACAATTCAATTTGTTCAACACTTTTCGACTATTAATTGATATTTTTGAAAGAATATTACTCTAATTTATCAACAATTTAAAGAAGAGAGTGGAAAAGGAGTTAAAAAGAAAATAATGTGAGTATTAGTAGAGAGAGTGTAAGAAAATAAAACAATATTTTCTTGATTTCTTCTATTTGAATGGGGTTGAAGAGAATAAAATAATAATTTTAAATATATACTTTTTATCATAAATAATTAATGTTTTTCTTTAAAAAATTAACACATAATTTATTCTTGGTAAAAAATTGAGGCCCCCTAAAATTGGGGGCCTAAGGCCAATGCCTTATTTTTGTATACATAGAGCCGGCCCTGGGTATTTATCATCTGCGCATCGAATTAGCTTCCATTAAGAGTGATGATGTATTTAAATGTAGTTCATCATTTCTCTTTTGAGTCCGTTTTAGGAAAGATTGACATATTTAAATGAAGTAAATAGTTAATAGAGAAAGCAACTAAAACATGACACTCTTTAATTGATTTTTGGCAGCAACAAAACACTTTCACACGCATCATTTACGTGCTCACAAACCAAGCTAAAAAATGGATCCAAATAATATATTTAAAAAGATATTTAGTATTTTTATGAGGTAATAAAACACTCTCAAAATTAAAATATCTTTTTAAAAAATTCAAAAACTTCAACAATAACTTTATATCTTTTTCTCTTATTTTCCATAATTTTTGTTGAATATAAACTGGAGAGTAACCTCATGAGAATATGGAGAGTGTACCTCGGGAGGAGGTAGAATCATAATTTGGGACATGTGTCCCAGACATGCACATGACTGTGACACTTTGAAATATATCGAAATTCCTATATTACCCTCAATTCTAACATAACCGTTTGAACCTGTCCACCTCTCTTCTTCTACATCTTCCAATCAAAAGTCGAGGACATTATCGACATTTCACATGTACCTTCTTCTCCTCCTATTACACTTTGCTATGAAAATCAAATCAAACTGCTCTTGTATAGGTATCACTAGCCGGACCCCTCATTCTCTCTCACTCTGATTCTCTGTTTACTAGAATTTCAGCTTCATTAAAATTCTTTCTGCTCCAGGTATCTACTCTTCAACTTCTTGTAAATTGTACTTTTTACTCAGGTATTATTAATTCTGTATTCTGCTGATAAAAAGGGTTTCTTTTAGGTTGATTTTACTTGGGTTTTTAGGTTTTGAAGATGGGTTCTGTTGTTCTTGAAAAATTGAGTTGTAAGGAATTCTCTAAAGTGTTTATTTTAAAAAACATGACCATTTTTTCCTTGAAAGAGAGGCGGGCGAATCTAGGTTTTTTTTTCCTGATTTATTCAATTATGAGCATTGTTCACTTCTGTCTAAAATAAAATACTCCTTGGACTTTGTGTATGTGTTGTAACTTAATTTAATCATTTCTATATCCTCACAGTTGAGGGAACAGTCACATAACATCAAAACTGAGTTCCCATAAGATCATTTTAGACACTTCACTGCCCCAAACACTTGCTTCATGGCTACTAAATCAAGAATTAACTTTCCAAACAACCTAAGGCCTCATTTGTTCTCTTGTTTTTATCAATATTAAGTTTTCTGAATTTAGGTGCACATCTGAGTATTAGATTTAAATGTTTGAATCAAAAATACATATCTAAATTTTTCTGTAGTAATATGTTGTACTAAGATGTGAATACTAAATTAATTAAGACTATTTATTTTTTTAACATCTAACTATATAAACTTGTATTTATTTAAAAATTAGTAATAAATATAAAACTTGAATAAAACACTAATTTGATCTAATACTGTATCAATAAAAATATTTCTGAAGAATTATATGCAAATTGGTGGTGGTGCTTGCTAGCGGTGGTAGTTGTAGGTGCCGATTGGATATTATATTAGGTGATGGTGGTGGTTATGGGTAATAACTAATGGTCATGGTGGCCGGTAGGCGGTAATAATGGTTAACAATGATTGTTGATTGGAATAGTTGGTGGTGACGACTTATAATTGTGGTGGACGATAGTGATAACCAATGTTTGTGGTGAATGATGACAGTGGTTGGCAATATATAGTGGTGATTATCGATAACGATTGGTGTCTATAACGATGATTAGTAGTGATGATTGTAAATAATGACTAATGGCGGTGACCGGTGACTATGGTGATTGGTGGTAGTAATGGAAGATGATGTCTTAATGATATTAAGATTTTGTTACATATCTTAAGGCCAGTTTGGACATATGATATGAAATCAGATTGATATGAATCTAAGTTTTGTTTGGATAGACAATTTGAATTTCTTAAGTTATATTTTTTCTCATAAACAATTGAATGATTAAGATTCAAACCTAAAAAACAACTGGCAAATTTGATGATTGATATCTGAATGGTTAAAATTAAGAGCTTCATTAAGTGCAAACAAATGAGAGCGTAAGATACTGAACTCAGAATAGTTGGTTACTTTTGATTTAACAAAAGTTAGAAGTTAACCAAGTATATACCTAAAATGTATCTTATAACAAAGTGAAAAATTCTTATAGTTCAGTTTACAACCTAAAAGGAAAGAAAAAGGGCATAGTTATTAAATTTTCAGGAAGGAGAGCATGTGAGTCAGGTAACTCTGCATTATATAGTTTATGTTCTTTATACAATCTGGTTCCTTCAAAGAATTTTCTAACCTTTTTATTTTTTCTCTTTGAAACTTCCACATCCTTAAAGATGAACCAGTAGTAAGTTGAGACCTTAAATGTAATATTGCCTTCCTTTTTCCTTCTTGTTGTTTATAGAATTTCGTAGTATCGTAGTGAATATGAAGGCAAAATCAACGGATGCATTTCCCCTTCAATGTGAGTGGTGACAAAAGCAGGGAGGAAACAAAATATTTTACCCTTTTCCAATGTTATTTCAAGAATTGAACTGAACGTAAGGGAAATTGGGTTTCCTCAAAAAAATTTAGTCATTTTCTCTCTATACTAACCTAACTAGTAATGTAAAAGTTCTAAGTTCCAAAGTTTTTGGAAATGGATGTAAATAGTTCTTAGGAAGATGAAGCACTGATTGAAAGCTGAAGTATAATAAAAAGGGACGCCCATTTTTGTCTTGCATCACCATGTAATGGGTAGAAACAAAAGTGGTGCTCTTTTATTATTTGTTGGCAAAAGTGTGAAGCTTCCTGTATATGTCTCAAGATTTTTGAATTATCATGTGTTGTTTTGGTCAGTCCCTTTATGTGATGTTCTCTTGCAGGACTGTGTTGCTTATGGCTTCCCCTTCCTCTGAACCTACTGCCAAGACTGAGGGTAGCAGTGGCAATGATGCTGGTGGTGGAGAAACATCAGAAGCTATGGGGCATATAGGGACTGATCAACTGTTATTATATAGAGGACTGAAGAAAGCAAAAAAAGAAAGGGGTTATACAGCCAAGGAGCGCATAAGCAAAATGCCCCCATGTACTGCAGGGAAGCGCAGCTCCATCTATCGCGGTGTCACTAGGTATGGCAAAAAAGGCAAATTGTAGATTGTAGTGATGTATTAGTCTCGTTGTGCAAATATGCTTTATTCTTTTGCATATTTGCGTAAGAATCTAGTTTCTCTACATTAAGCTTCCTGAGTTGCCTGACCGACATTGGGTTCTTTTATGGAGGTCTTATATGATCTCTAACATAGAAGAACTTTTCAGCAGTTCATTGCCTTATAGGAGAACATCAGCATTAGTTAATGAATTAGAAAGTTAGGATGCCGGATTTTGCATATTATTGAACGAGCAACATCTGATTAGCTTTCATGACATACATTTAGGCTTTTGCAACGAACACTTTAAAAAGTTTGTAAATGTGAAGCGGGAATAGAGAGGTCAGAGAACTAGGCTGGATTATCCCCTCAAGCTATTAAAGTTTAAATAACTATGTTTATCTGTTCTAAAACGGAAAGGACATGAATACCTAATCACAATAAGAGTAAATTAAGCTACCTGCTATATTTACATATATTCTAGAATATTCACAGGGATTCTAATACTACCCCTCAAGTCGGTGCATACAAATTATATATACCAAACTTGTTATATATATAACTTGTTTTGGGACCGGCTAGGGACATGGTGAGTATGTTTGCAAGCGGATCATTTGATGCACAAACCTTGTGACAATGTCTCTTAACAGTACTTTCTCTCTGAAAAAATAACAATCAATCTTTGTGTTTGGTCCTCTCGTGAAACACTGGACTCGATGCATTGTGAAGTGCAGCCTCATTATCACACACAAGTTCCATTTCATTATTCTCTCCAAATTTCAACGCCTTAAGTAGTTGCTTGATTAATATGAGTTCACATGTTGTCATTACCTTATCCTGATATTCTGCTTCTGTACTCCATCTATCAACCACATTTTATTTCTTTCTTTACCAAGACACCAATTTCCCCAACTAGAACACAATATCTACAAGTGGATCATCTGTCAAAACAACGACCCTGCCCAGTCTGCATCTATATATCAGTTTCAAAAAATTCTGCATCTAGATATCCAAATATTTTCTTATATCCTCGGTCTTTGTAAAGTAGTCCTTTCCCTGGAGCAGATGTTATGTATCAAAAAAGGTGAATAACTGCATTTCAGTGACTGTCGCAAGGAGAATCCAAGAACTAACTTCCAACACTTACCGGGTGTCCGAACCATCCCACGCTATTCCATCCCATTGTCCATTGAACCTGCTCTAATGATCCTCCTTTTGCCGGATCATTGCCTTTGAAATCATAAAAAGCTTATTTTTCAGTAAGTTTAGACATGCTACACATTTGATCCATTAACGTATCAATAGGCCTACAATATGTCATCCCTGTCCCCTCAAAAATATTAAGTGCACATTGCCTCTGTGAAATATCAATTTCTTATTTGGATTGAGCAACCTCAATGCCCTAGAAGTACTTTAATCGACCAATATGGTTGGTCTAAAAACGCTGAAAAAGGTGATGTTTCAACTTTGTAATTTGCTCATCATCATTACATGCACAGACCGATTTAGAGTGATGATAAAATACAGAATGATCAGCTTCACTTCAAACTATGCCAAATTCCTGAATAACCATGCTGAATTTCCTAAACCATGCTCGAGCTGCTACAGGTTATGATGAAGTGCTTGTCAATTGTCATAGTCTGCACACCGTGTTACCACGCTCCCCCTCAACAACAAAACATGATATCAGAGCCTAGTTTAAGGCCAGTAACATATAGGAAGAAAAAAAAATTCCAAACTTGAAAAATTTCAGAGCAAGTTTTCACGGTTGTCTGAAGATAATTCGTTTCCATAGGTTTTGCGATCAAACCAACACCATCACGAGAACCAAAATACCAGCCTACTTCGCCATCTTCCGCCACCGCACGGACCCTCACACGCTGACCAGAGCAGCCCAGATTCCAGCTACATCTGCACATGTGCCGATGCATGTGAGCTCCTTCGGCTTCCGATCTTTTTTGTTCCAGCAGTGTCTCTTGGTCATTCTGAGGCTACCCATATAGGAACCTCCTGCTTCGACCACTTTTTGATGACCAAATTCAATTTTTTAGTGGTTGCTTCCTGTTCTTTTCAATTTTCTGGTGTCTACTTCATTTTTTTCTGACTCAGACAGATTTAACTCTGTTAACATCTACAGCACCATATACTTGATATTTGGTTAAATTCTGCTATGGCCTATCATCATGTTTCTCGAATCAGATATTTTTGTGCTTAGACCATGGTTTCCATCAATTTGAACTATTTTATCACTATTGGAACTCTTGATAGGTAGTGCAAATTACTTATTTTGGTTATCTTCAATTCAACTATGGTGTAAGGGACAAGGTGTTCAGGATCACTTGATTAAACAGGCTAGTGATATTAATGAAAAAGATAGGGGAGGATGGGAATAGTGCCTACTTAATAATTTAGAATGCCTGCACTGCTTGGATGAGCAGGGATTTTTATTTGTTTTAGTTGCTAAAGCAGAATATCCTCTTCATTGGATCTTCACATTTACGTTCTTGGTTTTCTATGTAGGAGGAATGAAGAATTACCTCTTTATGATTTTTAACAAAATAGTTAATGAGTACCTATTGTATGCAATAGAAGATTCTAGGCCTATAGGTTTTGTCTCTTTTCTTGTGTGTTTTTCTGTTCTATTAATTAGAGTCAGATAAGATGGTATATGTTAACTCTCCTTCTGTTTTGACTGTTCTTTTAAAGAAATATTACTTGTCTCAACAATTTCTCTTGTTCCTTGGAAAATTTTGAGCTATGTTTTTAATTTCATGGGACTAGGCATAGATGGACTGGTCGTTATGAAGCTCATCTTTGGGATAAAAGTACCTGGAATCAAAACCAAAATAAGAAAGGAAAGCAAGGTGTTTCTCTTTGTTCTCTAGCAGATATTTTTGTTTCTATTTCATGCTGATCAGAATTCAGCTCGATGCTCCAGTTTTTTTGTGAAAAACTGATGTTTAGAAAGTGTTTATATTGCATGGACATTGGGACATTTATTGCTGCTTGATCTGCATGGGCAGTTTATTTAGGTGAGTACTTGGATTAATCCTTTTCTGAAGTACTGCACATTAAAGGAGATTAGACTGTTAAACATTTCGTGAACAAAATTGGTTGTAGGAGCATATGATGATGAGGAGGCTGCAGCAAGAGCATATGATCTTGCCGCTTTGAAATATTGGGGTCCTGGAACTCTCATTAATTTCCCAGTAAGATGTTTAATATTAGTTTGTTTCTCAGTTTACCAAGCAATACAAGCATCTAGCCCTTCCTCATTCCCTCCTATCTTTCTCAAGGATTTACTACTTCAATTCTCGTCTTGCTTTGTTTTCTTAATTCTTCACTTGCTTAATATTGGGTCTGTTAAAGCTTTGCACCGAACAAAGGAATAATAGATCCTTTCCAAATGTTTCCCAACTGTATCAGGTGCTTTGCAATGGGTATACTTTCATGTACTAAATGTGCTGACCGTTTATGTAGGTGACAGATTACACAAGGGACCTCGAAGAGATGCAAAATGTCTCAAGAGAGGATTATCTTGCATCATTAAGAAGGTGGGTATGCTGTTTGCATATGCATGTGTTTGGTAGAGTATCTGCTGATTCCTCATAAACTCATCTTTGCAGAAAGAGTGGTGGTTTCTCCAGAGGGATATCTAAATATCGTCCGCTATCCAGGTATGCTAGCACAGATCAAGTCTGCATTCATATTACTTGTTGAATTGAAAAGATTACGTGATGAAGGATGAAACGCTGTGGGATTCTCCTGACACATTCACATTTACCTATTTTTCCTGGTATCTTGATATTAATTAGGGTTTCTTAGATGTCATTATTCACGATATCTTCCGTCTTCTCTTCTCTGCATCCAATGTAGTCGATGGGATCTGCAATTCGGTCGTGTGCCTGGAGCTGATTACTTTAACAGCCTGCACTATGGTGAGTACAGTTATTGTCATACAAAAAGAACTTTCTATTAATAATTGTTCATTTTAGACCTTCATTCTCAAAAACTAAAATAGTTCCTTTTAGACCTAGGATTTAGTTAGCAAATCAAGGGCTGAACTCACATCTTATAAATCTTTAAATTTCTCAAAGGTGATAATGCCACAGTTGACAATGAGTACATCGGTGGTTTCTGCATGGATAGAAAGATTGACTTGTCAAGTTACATCAAGTGGTGGGGAGGTAATAAAGCTCGTCAAACAGATTCCCATCTGAAAATGTCGGAGGAAACAAAGGTTGGTTGTCCTGAAGATATTGATAATGAGCTTAGGGCTTCAGAATTATCAATTCAGCAGACTGAACCATATGAGATGCCCCGTTTGGGTGTGTACCAAGAAAAAAAGAATCATAAAAGCTCAACATTGTCTGCTATGAGCATTTTGTCACAGTCTGCAGCGTACAAGAGTTTAGTAGAGAAGGTTGCTAAAAAGAAAGAAAAAGTTGAGAATGATGAGAACGAAAACAAAAGCACTATCAACAGAGTCGACCGTGGGAAGATGATAGAGAAATCAAGTCCTGATAGTGGAAGTGAGAGGCTTGGAGCTGCATTTCTCAATGCTGGGGGATTATCTATTAACAGAAACTTGCACCCACTTACTCCACTCCTGTCAACACCACTTCTCACTAACTACAACATCATAGATCCCTTAGCAGACCCTGTTCTTTGGACATCTCTTGTTCCTAATTTTCATACAGGTTCTTCACGGACTGCCGAGGTGGGTTTATCTCTTATCAATGCTTAGATTATCTTGTTTTGCATACTCTATCTGTATAGAAACATGGAAAGTAGGATAAAAAGTTGATGGAGTGGAAATGTTAATCACCTAGACCCTATGAATCCTAGCATCTGAAGCTCTTAGTTTCACCAATTAATCCAGCTTCACATGAATACTAGATCAAATTAAAGAAGTTGCTAATTTGAAATTTTGTCCATTTAATTATTTAAAAGTGAATTTTTCTTCAGCGGACTGTTTCCTAGCTATATCATCTAATGGAACTTGCACTTAGCTAAGCCTGAGCTCTACTATCCACGTCCACCAGCAATTTAAGTGGGAAAATCATGATTGTTGTTAAGATATACAAAGTGTATTAATATGAGTTTTCTCTTTGAAGAATGGGATAGGACACAAGTACCCCCTAGACTATGACCGAAATCCCATAGACACACCTTAACTAAACTAAGGTCCTATTACCCCCCCGAACTTATTTTTTTTTGTAATTTTGTACACCTTTTGTCTTACGTGGCACACTCCGTGACTCCACGTAATTGAGGCGCGTGGGAGATATTTGGATGCCACGTAAGACAAAATGGTGCACAAAATTACAAAAAAATGGGTTCGGGGGGTGGGGGGTGGTAATAGGACCTTAGTTTAGTTAAGGTGTGTCTCTGGGATTTCAGTCATAGTCTAGGGGGTACTTGTACCTTTTCCCTTGAAGAATTGATAATGTTCAGTTAGTTGTACCTTGACTGCTTGCCTCTGTTATGACTTGTCTGGACCTTGGTTTTAACAAGAGATCCTACTTAGTAGCTAACAACACATACTTCTGCAACCAGCATTAGTGGTACCTCAATATAAGATATACCCTTCCACATGACTATGCCATTTCCAATTTTAAAAGACTGCACATACAATGCAAATTTCAGTAGTATATATTGTTTGAGTAGCATATTAGTTGTGTAGTCGTAATGACTTGCCTTTTGGTAGTGTGTGGGATTGCATAGGCAGTAAAAGGTCTGTGTCCTGTATATAACCAATCATTGTTGTTTAGGACTTCAATGAATTATTAATCCTAGTATGTTTACAAGATGGAGTGAAGGGTGAGCAGCATTTGAGAATGGTTACTTTTCAAGGATTCCCTACAGAAAATTGTGCAGAGTGGAATTCTTCTGAAGTTTGTTAGATGGAAGGATATGTGTATCTCATAAAGCTGATCAATTTCATGCAGGTCCACAAGAGCGAAGCGAGTTCAGATTATACTTTATTTCAACAAGAAGATTAACCTCCACCTCTACAAGTGAGATACAAACTTTCCTGTACATGTAAGTTTGCAGTCTTGTGAAGCATAGGCATACACACTTAATCTTTTGACAGGGTTTTTACTTTTGGTCCATTATGAACTTTATAGGACCTAAATGTTGTTCCAGTACTTGTAAAATAAGTCCCTAGTTTATTTATCCTTTCCAAGTCGCTGCAATGTTGCTCTAGCAATTCCATTTGTCCATCAGAGTTGTTAAGAGTCTTATCATTCCACCCTATTGAGTTCTCCACATGTAGTTTATGAGAATGTATACAAGCATGATTGTGGTATTTATTATTGCAGTTAACTTGAGTAGAATTTTGTTCTTTGCCCCTTCTTGGTTCTAGCTTGACTTATTTATTTCTCTCCTTCTGGTTGAGAAACCCATCTCTAACCTCCAGGAAACACAGGATGCCACCTCTGTTGAACTATAGTTTCCTCCTATGTTGCTTGGACTCTCCATGCCACACCTGTGTCGGATCCTTCAAAAATGCGCTACTTTTGAAGGATCCAACACACCCTTTAATACTTTAGGAGAGTTCGAGCAACATAGGTTTCCTCTGAACATTTCATTGCTTATTTGAGATTTGAAAAGGCAGCTTGTCGCTAAAAGTATGTTCCCATCGCTACAAGTCAATTTGGTCTCTAAAGGTGCACGCACCAGATACCTCTTATTTTTTCACTAAAATAAACCCTAATTCCCTCATACGACCTTGAAATTTTCAACGATTCTTTTTTGTACGAGTCTTAAATATTAATACAGATCTAGTTGTTCGGTCAAAACTCAGTTTCGAGCTCGTTTGCTTCTAGTTCTTGTATCAGAAATGTGTGATTTGATTTTCTAATTACTAGACTAGAGTTTCTTATTTATTAGTATTATAAGTAAAAGCGGGAACAAAGCCAATAATATTAGTGCTGCTGATTGTAGTTCAACTTTTAGCCTTTGATCTGTTGGTTTTAGAATTTAGCTTCTTAGTTAGTTTATAACTTGGGGAAAACCCCCCATCCCTCAATTTTTTACCCAATTTTGGGGATTCAATCATGAAATATATGATGGAATAGTGGGAAAATAGTAATAGGATGTGCAACATTCTGAGCCTACACCTAGAAACATTGTTGGTTTCAAGTGAAGTCAAGAGACCTGACTTACTACTACCATGTAGGTTATAACACATGCGGAAACTATTTGAAAGATGATCACAAAATATCAAGAAAAAACAAGCTCAGGAATTCTATTTAAAGATTTGAAAATCTAAATAATATATACGTATATGTTTGAAAAACAATGCTGAATGTTATAACTCAACTGACTCGTCTATGAAGCTCTGAAGATAGGTTACTAAGAGAAGACCCCAAGTGACATGCATACTCTGCTACCAACATATACTAACTACTAATACTCTAGATAAACTGAAGCCTCCCGAAAGCAAGGAGGTCTCATCGAGGTCGGATGAAAGTGATTCAAATAATGCGTGTGCTGTCAGGAGTAGGTGAATCTGCATTATAAAACAATGCAGACCAAATTGACGTCCATGAAATGTTCGATATGTAAAATAACTGAATATAACAATAGACTAAAACTAAATAAATTGGGCTGAATGAATAACTTTGAAGATATACTAGAATAAGTCAATCGAATAGTATGAAGTAAGAATTTTCAAGTGAAGTCGAGACATGTTCTAAAACTGATTAACTAAAACTTGATATCTGAATATCTGAGATTGAGAAGAGAAAACATAAAATAGTATGCAAGTTATGCCCGAAATATATATATAAAAGTACTTACTTAGATATATTTCATAAATATTCTTCATAGTTTTTATCTTTAAACATATTGTTTCATGTTTGAGACTTAGAATTTTGAACGGTCAAATAAAAATTATAATCCATAGATATTAGTAACTATAATAAAGCTCAAATCAAAATCAAATCAATACTAATGCTAGCAAAAAAAACTGATTCAATATTAAGAATGACAATAATATTGAATATTTGTTCTTTAATTTTACATTGGTTTAGTTAATTAAAATACATAACCTAATTTAGTTTCTCTTCAGTATTTAGTCATGTAGTTACTACTTATTAGACTTATGTTTGCATGGTTTAGTTAACATTTTGATTAACAAAATTTTAATTAGCAAAAATTTCGTTTTCATCGCAAACCCATTTTGAATCTTGGAGTTTTATCCGTCAATGTCAATGGTAGTAGAATTTTCAACCCCTTCCAACAATAACAAATCAATTTAAATTTAAAATTTTTGATCGATTATTGATCCACTTTAAAGGATGAAGCTTTATTCATCAATGGTGAGTAATTTTCAATCCCTTTTACCAACAAATCAATTCAGGTTTGAATTTTTGATTCAATTGCAGACCCACTTTTTGTTCATCAATGGTGGTAGTATTTTCAACCCCTTTCAACAACAAAAAATCGATTTGAACAAAGAATTAAAGTGGGTGTCTTGTTTTTCATTTAAAGCACATGCTATTGTGTTTCTGTTTTGGTAAAATTTGAAGAAGGATTGAAAATAAAGATAGAATTGAAGAACACAGAATTTGGGGGTGTTTTGGTTTGGGCATATTATTAAGGTGTTTGTAACACTTCGGATTCTAGAAAGACTAGGAAGGGGTTTAGCGGGCTTGTCAAGAGCCCAAAGCTGGACCATGGAACCCTCCACAGAGCCCTAGATGGGTTGTGAAAGGGACCACAGTCCATCATGGTGCTCGTGACAATAAGGCAGAACCTGTCCCAAGCAGGCTCCCTTCCACGGACCCCTAGACGGGCCATGAAGAAGGAGACGAGCCGTACAAGTGGTCGTGAAGGGGTGAAGTTCAGTAGGGGTTCTCCTCAAGCCACTGGTCAAGGACCACAGGCGTCAAAACGTCCCGTGAAGCTTCACACGGACCGTGAAGTCGTTTGTGAAGGGTTTTCATTATACTTAGAGTTTAGGGCCAACTTCAGACGATCATATCTTTTAGCACAAAATGAGTTAGGTGGCCCACGACCTATCAAATTAAAGATCTATGAGTCCTCTTTCCAACACCACCAAGTTTGCCTGATTCCAAGTTCGGAGTAAAAAGTTATGCCCGAAATAGTGAAGCCCATAAATTCATCACGACCCGTTTGACGGGCCGTGAAGGCCTCCTTGATTCCAATTTGGTAGTTTTCAATCAGGTACTTTTGAGTCTTTTCACCAATTATTTTAACTCAATACTATGTCGTTTTTCCTTTTTTTTTAAGCCCTATATAATGGTTTTAAACCCCCAAATAACCCTAGCTCAATTCATTCTCTTAAATTCTCAAAAGAAGATAAGCTCTTCCTCTCAAATATTTCTCTCTGTAGAAGTTGAAGAGGAAAGCTAGGGTTTCAAGATCAAGCCTCCTAATCCTCCACTGCTTTTAAGCTTTTGGCATCAAGGTATGATAGTTTTCATCCATGGAGCCCTTTCATTCATAGAGTTCCTAAATTCTCCAATTTTCAAGTTAGAAATCTCCAATTGAAATTAGGATTTTCTTCCATGTCATGGGTTCCTTTCAGTGTTGATTTATTTGATTGTTTTATGACTATTTATGCATGAATTGAAGTAGTTGCATGATTTCTAAGTTGATTTCCCATGAACCCATGCATCACCCATGTTTTCTAAGTTATGTTGATAGAATATGGGTCTTGAACTATGAAAGATGAATTTATGAAAATATGCATGTCTTCTCTTTATGAAATTGATGTAAATGAATTTGAAGATGCTTTGACTTTGAAAATATGATGAAACTTATGAATTATTGAAAAGAATGCATGTTCATGAAAGTATGTTTATGACTCAAGAAAGCTTATAGATGAGATTGTCTATATGTTCTATGAAGTTTGGTCACATGCATGAATGACATCTAGATTTGCGTTCAATGCTTTTCGGGTTATTTTCCTAAATTAGGTCTTGATTAGTATGGTATCTGGATATGCCATCAATGATTATAGGCCACGATTTCAAAACTATTTCCATAGTATTAGGGGCATCTCTAGCATGAAGTGAATGACTGTGGGCCTTAAGAATTATTATGAAAAGATTATGGACGCTGAAAGTTTTTCTCACGCATGATCTAAGGAGCTATCTTATGATAAGACAAGTGGCAACTACCCATGTCTTTTGAAGATAAGACAAGTTAAGATTAATAACTACTCCATGGGATTTATGCTTAGCACCTAGAGGATATTGAGATGGAAGTTCCACCGTGTTGAGGCCGAGTTTCTAGTAGCAATCTCCTTACCCCGTACCTATGTGCCCCCATAGGATGATTGTCTAGATAGATATATATTAGCTAGTGGATTCACTTTAGCTCAGATTCATGGTTCTACCTTGGCAAGTAGGACAACATTTTTCGGTGTGGGAGACATTGGGTCCATGTTATAGCTCACATGGTCTCTATGTCGGTTAAGGCTACTTCCTACAATAATAATGAACTAAGGTTGCCTTTAAAGTATCTCACATGTGTTCAAAGATGATTTTACTTGCATTGATCATGATTATGTTTTATGTTTTCTAACCCTCTTATCTTATGTTTTGACTTTGTCTTTGCATATCACGAACATGTCTTTTTTAGAATGATTTCATACTTTTATGCATGACTATCATACTTAGTGCATTTTTGTACTAACACATACTCTTGCCTACATTTCTCCAAAATGTAGGGACCGACCTTACAGATTCGCACTTCCGTGGCAAGGGATCTCATATAGAAGATTGAAGATTGGTGAGTCCTCATAGTCCGAGGACCGAGCTCTGATTTCCTTTTTTGTGTTTACTTTCAGTTTTGGAACTTGATGTACGGGCTACGCCCTGATCAATCTTATGTACTAGATGACTTTGAGACGATGTTTAGACTTCCGCTTTTCTCTATAAAACTTTTATATGTTGAAACTGTCTTTTAAATTTTTCATATTCTATTATCTTGTATGATGCATGCTAAGTGACTTGTATGAGGACTCTCAGGGTCTTGTATGTCATGTTACGCCTAAGGGCTACCTTGGGTCCTGATAGTGTTAGTGAGTGGGTGAGTTATAATATTTGAGCAAGTTTTTATTAATTGGGGTGGGTCTTTAATTTTGGGTTAAATTTAAGTAAAATATCATGTGGATGCACATGATTAGGACATGTGTTCGTCTGTTATTGTGAAGGATACAAGGTCTCCACTTTTTGGACGGGAAA